ACTTCTGGCAGCAGTCGGTGGGGTTGAGAGAAATAACATTCTTAAAAACGTAAAGCACTCTCTTAACTTCATCGGCAAAGAGGGCGATCGACCATTCGTCACTGGCGCATCCTCCGCCTTGCCAACAGTTACGAAGCCCGCCGCATTGATAAACTAGCCGCGATACCTTTAGTACAGAGGCCCAAGCGGCATGACGGATCATTCATCAGCAAGATCACGTACATCTACCAGACGGCACGGCTCCGATGTATGATGGGCGTCCTTGGGAAACGGTCATTTCATCAACACACCAGCAGTATCTTCTCCATGAGATCCAGAACTGTGAGCTAAGCTATCCATCAGCAAAGAGTTTCTAATGAACTGGGACTTTGACCGACCACCAAGTTTCCATTCACCGACTGGGGGGCCAGGTTCCTCTTGCACCAAATCCTGGATACCACGCCTAACCGAAACTTCAGCAGCCATGGCCCGCACCCTTTTCAAGTGTACCAAGAAAGGACCAGAAACGTCACCTTTGTTTGGGAGAGTGGGTAATGATTCCGGGCAGGACACGCTGCAGGCTGATAAGCCTTCCTGGACAGAGAACGAGAACTTGCTAGCTCCCTCTGTTGGCCAGACTGGGGGAAGGCAGCCGATTGGGAGCTTTATACCAAGTTCCGGCACCGGATTGGCCACTCGATGTCACCTGCTTCCCAGGATAGCAGAATCATGGGATATGGTGTGTCTCACAGCGGGAAGCACTTTCAGTTTCCTCCTATGACCATCAGCTCTGGTGGCGCAGGGAGTTGATGCCTCACCCAAGGTGCTCTTGGTATGTCACAAGGCACATAAAGAATGCATAAGAATGTTCGTTTGCCCAGCTAATTTGGAAAATTGCAATATTGTGCTGTTCTGCTCAGCTTTTAGGATCAGATGCAAAAAGCCCCGTAAGAGTTAACTATGATGCTTGGAGGTATTTAAGAGCTCTGCTAAATCAATTTTACATTAATTCTCTGGCGCTCCTTAATAAAAATACTACTTTTTTTTTTTTTTGGCTACCCCTGCAGCTTACAAAGCATTCCCTGTCATAAAACGGCTCGTGATGAATTTGTGAGGAAAATTCAATAACATTTGTTTAGGTTACTGGGTAAAGGCGCAATTAGCAATGGTATGATTTTTATAGACAGAAACACAATCCACGCTCTTAACAGCTCTGCCATGGCAAGAGAGATACTTGCTGGTGATAAGGGGGGAAAAAATACACATTTGAGTAAACCACAGGCTGGACGATTGGAAGAAACCCACCAACATTTAAAACTCATGTTTATAACAGCTCCTGAAAAGAGTTATACCTATTATTCTATTAGCTGATTGCTATCAATACTACCAAACACAAATCTATGTTTTCCTGGTAAAATATACACACTCTCTTGCCCTAAACGGACCAATTAAGAACAGATATTGGTAATGTTGTACATATGTTTGCTTCTCCTCACTTCCTGAGGCCTAAAGAACAGTTTGTCGTCTGTGCATGATTTAAAACTGTTTATAGCAAAACAAAGTCCCGTTATATGGCTGGATCCGCTGCAACAAACCTCTGAGTTACACAGAGCGTCATAAAAGCGGCTTAAAATTCTCTTATCCTTCCCCAATCTAAGCAAATGGCAGCTCTTTAATGATTTCTTTAACTGGTTTAAACCGTTTTTAATCCCTGTTGTTGCCGCTGTTGGAGACAGCAAATCTAACCCTCTTTCTCACACACACAAAACACAGAGCCCCCCTCCCTCCAAAAGCAGAAAGCCCAAAGGGCAGTGTGGCAGAATATAAGTTAAAAAAAAGTGAAAAGCCAACATCTTCCATCTGATTGGACACATTAATTGAGGAGTCAGGATCTGAACCCAAGAACGAGGGGAGCTCTATTGTCTGGAGTGCCACGTGTTTTTAGAAACTTAATTATCAGGTGAGTGGGGCCAAATTCAGACAGGGACCACAGCCTGAGGTTGGGGAAGGGGGGCTATGTCTTCGTACTGTGCCATTTCCCTCATCTAAAATAGCCCCTGGGTGAATGAGGGTTTTTGTACCCCAGTCAACCTTGGGGCCCTGGAATACTGTACCCCCAGTCCTCCTGAAGCACCAAAGGATGGTTAGCATTAACCATGGTTAAACTTTGAGCAAATATTTCCCTTAAAATATTTAAGCCAAGATGGGGTACCTGCGCGCGTGTGTGTGTATGGGGGAAGCATGGTTAGTGAATGAGAAGGACAACATGTTCCTGAGACTGGCCGCCATTTTCTTAACAGTGGCTGAGAGAATCAAAGCTATGTGGATCTTTTAATCTATACTGAAATTCTTACTAATGCTATATATAAATTTTAATGTTTTGTGTTTTGCACTTTATGTCACTATGTCCGGTATATCGCCCAGGGCCCGGCGTAAACCGGGATGGGGCGAGTAATAATAATAATGAGAAGAAGAAGAAGAAGAAGAAGAAGAAGAAGAAGAAGAAGAAGAAGAAGAAGAAGAAGAAGAAGAAGAAGAAATTGGATTTATACCCCGCCCTTCACTTGGAGTCTCAGAGCGGCTTACAAACTCCTTTCCCTTCCCCTCCCCACAGCAGACACCCTGTGAGGTGAGTGGGGCTGAGAGAGCTCTGACACAAACTGCTCTTTTTCAAGGACAGCTGCGCCCAAGCTTGTGACTGACCCAAGGTCACATCAGCAGCTGCAAGTGGAGGAGTGGGGAATCAAACCCGGTCCTACCAGATTAGAGTCCGCACACTTAACCACTACACCAAACTGGCTCTTCGATGATGATGATAATGATAATAATGATAATTCATAGAGGAGAGGTCCATCAACGGCTGCTAGCCATGATGACTGAAGGCTGCCTCCACATTCAGAGACAGCAGAAACCACTGGTCACCAGCGCCAGGAGGCAACATCAGGGAAAGGCCTCAGCCTCTATGATCTGTTTCTTTGGCCCTTCAGAGCAACTGACTGGCCACGGAGTAAAACAGGATGCTGGACTTAGGTGGACCACTGCTCTTCTGATCCAGCAGGTCTCTTATTTATTAGGATATTTTGATGCCGCCTCTTCAGAGTCCTGCTCAAGGTGGCTTACAATTAAATCACAATATGAAAACTGGACATAAAACGACTTTAAAAACGATCCACAAACTACAGCAGACCACGCTGACTTTTTGGCGTACGCCCATACAAATCTCCCAGTCTGGATGGAGAATAGGCTTGCCAAGTCCCCCTGGGGGGCAGGGAAACCCCCGCCCCAGAGGCCCGTTCCCCGCCACCGGCGGATCAGGCCCCGCGGGGAACTCCACCCCCACGTGCACGTCACCCGGAAGTGACGGGGGTACACTGGGCACGCTGGGGGCGGGGCCACGGTCATCCGAGGGAAAACTCTATGGTTTTCCCTCGGATGGTCCTGCCCCCGCCCCCAGCGTGTCCTGCATACCCGTGTCACTTCTGGGTGATGTGGATGCGGCGCACGCACGCGCTCCAGACACCAGCTGGGAGTCCCCCGCTGCAGTAAGTTTCTAACTTGGCAACCCTAATGGAGAAACATGGCCTACCTGCGGAGAACAGTCAAGCAGTGCTGTTCTACGTCAGTGTAGAGGAACATGGGTGGACAACGCCTCGCACAAACATCCTTCTCCAGGGCATGCCTTTTCGACAGCCCATATTTATTTTTCTTCTATGGGATCGTGCTGTTTGGATTGCAGTGAACCTGAACCGAAGGAGGGTTTTGGGAGAATCTGATATCGTACCGCATTACGGCTCCGGGGACATGGGTCAGAGAGCATTTTGCCCTTCTCGCTTCCACCAGCTTATAAACTTTGGCAGATATGAAGTTACTTACTGAGGATCTGCGCGACTCGCAAGCCCGAACCGCTGCCCGAAAAAACCGGCAGCATTCGACGAATTCCACATCGAGTCTATCTGTTTAAATTCTGTTTACTCATAGTAATGGCAATCACATGTCTGACAGTGCTGATAAGCCGTACCAAGCTTAGGTTACTCAGTGACTATTCAACCCCCCCCTGCCCCGGAAATTAAGCTCATCTTTAACCAATAACCAAAGAAATCATTCTACATCAAGATGCAGTTGGTTTCCCATTTGTGTGTTTAAAAGTGTTAAGGATTTTTTCACTGTGCTGTACGAAAGGGGAGAAATATATACTTTGGGAACAAAGGCATTTATTTACTTCATTTACACATCAATTTCCTCCCCGCCGGAGACCCAAAGCGGTTTACATCGTTCTCCCCTTCTCATAACCAATGTTCCCTCTAAGCTGTGGAGGCTTGTGAGCGAAAATTCTACTTTGTGAGCTGCTGGCATTAAAACTGTGAGCGAGCGATTTGGCAACCGTATAAATTAGTTTGCTCTGGAGCTGTTCTTCCTGAGCTAAGACAAAAATGTGTGAGCCGGAGGCTAGAAAACTGTGAGCTAGCTCACACTAACTCAGATTAGAGGGAACACTGCTCATAACAACCCTGCGAGGTTGGTTAGGCTTAAAATATGTGGTTGGCCAAAGGTCACCAAACAAGATTCCAAGACAGAGGGGGGATTCGTACCTGGGTATTCCCACATGCTAGTCTGACACTGTAACCATGTCACTGGGGGGAGATCAACACATATGGGGACCCCGGGGGTGGGGGTGGGTTTCAAGGCAAGAGATTCAGATGTGGTTGCCATTGCCTGCCTCCATGTCATGACCCTGGTATTCCCTGGAGGTCTCCCATCGAAATCCCAGCCAGGGCCAGCCCTGCTTAGCTTCTGAGATCTGACGAGATAAGGGCAATCCAAATAAGGGCCCCGGGTTTTTAGTTAGGTGCGAAAGTGTCCCGTGTTCAGACTTCTCCACCGTGGAGTTCAAGTGCGCCAGAGCTCAGTGTTCAGGGTGGCCAGGAAGTACATTAAACTACTTGAGGGAGGGTAAGAGTCACAAATGCCCGGTTTTCAGGTCAGATATTACACACAAATGCATGCAGTAACAGTCGCGGTACCTCTTTTTCCAGAATGCGTGAAATCTCGCCTAAAATCCTATCCAGGGCAGAGGCTTTGTTGCTGTCTTGAAGCTGAAGCTGCTTCAGAAGGTCCTTTACCAGTCGCTGCAGCCTTCCCGCATAAGAGAGGAAGAAAGAAAAGATTAAGAACCGGGGAAATCCCTTTAACATTGGGGTAACGTGATGGTGGGACGGAACTATTTTGAATGTAACACGAGTTTCCACCTTGAAGGTTCTGAAACCGGTGCTTTGAATCGGTGAATCGCTGGATAAAATTACTGAAAAGTAGTAACGGGTAGATCCACAGAAATGATTTCAAGGGCCCCTGTCACACGGGCAGGAAACTGCAGAGGAGAAGTGTGGCTGTTTGCCCCGGGGCAAACTAACATGCAGTAAAGCGATCAGACCTACTGTGGAGGTTCTGTGGAGGTACTGTGGAGGTTCCATGGCAAGGGAGAGGTGCCGATCACAACACACGCCTGCGCGCAATGAAGAAGCGCGCGGCGCGGCGAACTGGTTTTCTTTTTTTGTGTACACTACGAATGCGCATGCTCCGTTGGGTGCGTGTGCGCATCCACGGAGACGTGGGGGGAAAAAAACCCTTTTCCGCAAGGGGACATGGGCGGGCGCCGGATACCACCGGAAACGCGATCAGACGCCCGCCCTTGCCCCGCAGTTTCTGGAAACTAGTACCTCCAAGGTACTAGTTTTTTGCTGCGCTTTTTCGGCAGGAAGCCTCAGTTGTGCCACGGAAGCGCTACGCTTCCCAGATGTGCTGGTGAGATCGCGACCGGAAACTCCGCTTGTCTTCCGTATCTCTTGCGTGGCTAATGTTGCGTGTGACCGCAGCCAAAGACTGTTTGCCATACTAAAATCTAAACGTGAGTAACATCAGAGATGCAAAACATTTGGAAGAAGAAGAAGAGACTGGATTTACACCCCGCCCTTCACTCAGAGTCTCATGATATGAAAACTGGACATAAAACGACATAAAACAGACCATATCAGAGTCTCAGAGTGGCTTACAAACTCCTTTCCCTTCCCCTCCCCACAACAGACACCCTGTGAGGTAGGTGGGGCTGAGAGAGCTCTTTCGAGAACTGCTCTTTCAAGGACAGCTCTTGTCAGAAGTATGGCTTGCCCAAGGTCATCCAGCAGCTGCAAGTGGAGGAGTGGGGAATCAAACCCGGTTCTCCCAGATTAGAGTCCGCACACTTAACCACGACACCAAACTGACTTTTTAAAAACTGTACCCTGAGGTTGGGCCACGGCTCAATGGCAGATCATATGTTTTGCCTGAAGAAGGCCCCAAATTCGATCCCTGGCACTTCCGGTTCAAAAGGTCAAGTAGCAAGTGATGTGACACAGCGGTCAACAGGGACCTTGATAACCAATAGCGACTCAGCTTTCCCCTGACCTTGATAGCGCGAGATAGCCAATCTGATCAGATCTTGGAACCTAAGCAGAGTCATCATTGGCTAGTGTTTGGATGGGAGACCACCAAGCAAGCCCGTAGCCAGGATTTTTTTTTGTTTCAGGGCATTTAAATTTTTAAGGGGGCAGTTAAATTACAATTAACTAAATTAATCTGAACACCTGCCTTTAAAGGGGGAGGCTCCAAGCCTGTTTCTAAGCCCTTCCTTTTAGGGGACAGGGCAGCGAGCGTGTCGGTTCCTAGGCAAAATTGCACAAAGGGCATTTAATTGCCTTCAGAAGTCATTTAAATGCCTTTTGAGTTCCACAGGGCAAGAAAGCTTAGAAAGGCACTCAAGAGTGGCACCTTCAATATATTTTCAGCAATCCCCCTTTCTGCTAGAGCAGTCCTGCTGTAGACCATCTAGGTCATAGTGAGCCTTTCAAAAGCATCCCCATGAGCCTTTCCCATGATGCCCTCCCCCCATTACACAGTGAGAGGGAGAGGGAAGTCTGAGGGCAGCTGCGTTGCTCTCACCCTGGCCGCTGCTATCAGCAGGCAGCGAGGGGTCTCACCTCAAAAATAAGGTTTCTGGCATGGCTATTTGTGGGGCAGGGCTTTTAATTAAGAGGGCAAGGCCACAAAATGCCCCACTGTAGCTATGGGCCTCGTTCACAAATAGATTTCTTACTGAAGTACTTACTAAAGATTTATAGTGATACTAGCCTGATACCCGTGCTTCACTACGGTATTTAAATTCCGTAAATCCAGTTATAATACTGCTGATGTGAAGTTTGAAATGTAACATTTGTTGTAGTGTAAAAAATGAAGTGAGATATACATACTGTTTTTTTTCCCCTCTACTGAAGGACCTCTTTTTAGACTGCTGGGCGGGCTCCCTCGTAGCTTTAAGCACCCTGCAACCGCTGCTGCACCTGACAGACAACCACCTGTTAGGTGTAGGAAGTGGAGGGAGTGTATTGGAAGCCATCAGAGAGGCTGGGCCAGCATCACTGCTAAGGTGATCCTGCTGGGGCGCCGTCCCTGATGGATTAAAGTACCCTGGTCCTGCTCCCACACCTGACAGACATCTGCCTGTCTGGTGTTGGGGGGGGCTGTGGAGCCTTGTGAGCAAAAAGTCTACTTTGTGAGCTGCCGGCATTAAAGTTGTGAGCGAGCCATTTGGCTCCTGAATAAATTAGTTTGCTCTGGAGCCCCATCCTTCCTGAGCTAAGGCAAAACTGTGTGAGCTGGAGACTAAAAGACTGTGAGCTGGCTCACACTAACTCAGCTTAGAGGGAACACTGGTCCAGGGTCACTATGCAGAGGAGCGCGATGGCAAACCACATCTGTGCATCTCTTGCCCCTGACCTGCATGACCCACGGTAGCCTGACCTCACCAGCTCTCAGAAGTTAAGCGGGGTCAGCCCTGGTCAGTATTTGGACAGGAGACCCCCGAGGAAGTCCAGAGTCCCCCCGGGATGCCAAGTCCCCCCGGGGGCGGGGAAACCCCTGCCCGGGAGGCCCGTTCCCCGCTGCTCCCGGATCGGGCCCCCGGGGGGAACCCCACCCCCAAAGCACGTCACAGGAAGTGACGCAAGCACGTCGGGGACGTTGGGGGCGGGGCCACAATCATCCGAGGGAAAACTCTATGGTTTTCCCTCGGATGATTGTGGCCCCGCCCCCAACGTCCCCGATGTGCTTGCGTCACTTCCCTGTGACGTGCTTGCGGCGCGCACGCGCGAAGACTCCCGGAGCAAGGCTGGACTCCCCCGCTCCGGAACAGGTAAGCACTTGGCAACCGGGGTTGTGTTGACGCAGAGGCAGGCAATGGGAAACCAACTCTGAACATCTCTTGCCTTGAAAACCCTAAGGGGTTGCCCACAACTCGGCCGCAACTTGACGGCACTTTCCCCCAACCCCCTAAAATACTATATACATGTAAATAGTCAATCCATACCAATGATAAATGCCTGGACAAATGGAAAATCCTTGGCCAGGTTCCCCGAAATGGAGGGGGGAAAAGCACCAGGAGAACAGCTATGCAGGGGGTGTTCCGCAAATGGGGTGCCACCAATGAACAGGCCTCGTTTTGGGCGGCCACCCACCGCATCGTCAACACTGTCGGCAGCCAAAGCACACAGAGGTAGACAATGTCAAAGATCTGTAGTTCTGCTGCTTTCGCCGGGACTCAAGCCCCTACTGGCTTTTTAAACGGAACGGAGCCAACGGGTTGGGTTTTGTAAAATTTTAACGATAAAGCGGGATAAATTGATCCGAAATCCCTGGTATTTTTTGTTGTTTAGCAGGCAAATGCTGAACAAATTGTGGACGGTCCCTTGGTGCCCGTACGTTCTGGCTGGAGAGAGGGATGCACTTTAAACTGGTTTTTCCTTATGAAAACACGTCTCAGATACAGAACTTGCTTTGTGGCTTTCCCCTTTGTCCCCCCGCCCCCCGCAGCCATAGTATGCCAATGCAGAGCCCGATGTTTGGCCTTTCAGAATAATTCTCCCCCCCAAAAAAAATTCTTTATAAAAAGCCCCTATAGATGCAGCTTCTAGTTTCTGAAACACAAAGGTTTTTATTTCCCGTTTCCCTTCCTACGGGAGAATATAGAATTACCTTCTCCTAGATTACCCCAATTGTTACAGAATTGCTTAATTTCTTGGCAGGGCGGAAGCCGAACCCTGAATCGAGCTGTTTGTTGACTCAGAGAAGGTAATCTTATTCCCTCTTTCGGGAAGCACACTCGGCCCGCTGTTTCAGGCGGCTGCTGCACAAACCTCAAAGCATCTGCCAGACTTCAGATTGCAGATGGGTTTGCGGAGGATGTTTATTTTATTCTGAATTCGGTCGCTATCAAGAAAACTCGAGTTTTTGACGCGGAGGGAGGGATTTAATCACGGGCTCAATCAAATTACCATTGGCATAGCGGCCCACAAAATTTCCCAGATCTTTCAATGGTTCCAGACAAGCGGACATTCCTCTTTTTCTTTACAGAGGTGATCGGGAACTTGCATTACACATGTCCATAACAGCTGATGCACGTGGAACCTCCATGTTTGGAGGCAGCCAGACTCTAAATCCCAGAGCCAGGAGGCAACATCAGGGGAAGGCCTCGGCCCCTCTGCCCTGCTATTCCTTCCAGAGGAACTGGTTGGCTTCTGTGTGAGACAGAATGTGGGTCTAGATGGACCACTGTTCTGATCCAATAGGGCTCTTTCAATGTTCTTATGAAGGCCTCAGCCTCTGTGTCCTGTTATTGGATTTCCAAAGGAACTGGTTGGCTTCTGTGTGAGACAGAATGTGGGTCTAGATGGACCACTGTTCTGATCCAATAGGGCTCTTTCAATGTTCTTATGAAGGCCTCAGCCTCTGTGTCCTGTTATTGGATTTCCAAAGGAACTGGTTGGCTTCTGTGTGAATCCAGATATGGGACTAGATGGACAACTGATCTGACCTAGCAGGGGTCTTCTTATGAAGGCCTTAACTTCTATGCTCTGTTGTTGGACCTCTAGAGGAACTGGTTGGGTTCTGTGTGAGACAGGATGTGGGACTAGATGGACCCCTGGTCTGTGTCAGCAGGGCTCTTCTCATGAAGACCTCAGCCCCTATGCTCTGTTGTTGGACCTCTAGAGGAACTGGTTGGGTTCTGTGTGAGACAGGACTAGATGGACCACTGTGGTCCGATCCAG